GGTCTTCCAGTACGTGGGGAAGGCGGCCAAGCGGAAAGACCGCGTCTTCGTGTGGGGCTTCTGCTACTCGGGCGCCCTGGGCGTCCCCAGCTTCGTGAAGCCGGACGTGGGCTGGAAGAAGCCGCGGCGGATCCAACCCACGCCCTACCGGCTGGAAACGGAGGAGAAGGTGGGCCCGGGGGTGGCGGCGGTTTTATCCCGACAGGGTAGCGTTAACGTTGCTTCTCAAACACCGGGGACCCTCCTCTGTCCATGCCAGTTAATCTTGGGATTTCTTCTCTCACCTTTGAAGGGCGTTAACGAATCTGATTTAAAGACTTTGCCGTGGTTCTTTTTTTTTTATTCATATGGTGGTATTCTTCAGGGTGATTTTTGGTATAACTACAGTAGCATACAGTTTGGAAGGTACATATCTATATTCTTTTGTCAGAGCCATAAAAGAGCAATGAACAACATTCATCAGAGAAATAGGGCCTCGTTTTCAGTGGCTTTCGTGGCTACTTTCACCTTGACAAAATTGGAAGCTTGTGTTGAAAATCATGTTATTCTTTTGATACATGTTTCAAACATGCTCTGCTGTCCAGTTCAAAGAAGGTCAGAGCTGTTATACTGGGCTTTTTTTGGCAAAAGAAGTAAAGCAGGGGGATGTTATTCTCTTAACACCTCTTTGTGTTTTTTTGGATTTTTTTTAATCTACAGCTGCTGCAGGTCAGCAAATAGGTCTTCCTGTTGTGTTTGAATGGGTCCAAAATAAGGCAAAAATAAAGACGCACACACACAAAACCAAAATTCTAGGGCAGTAATGTTGGATTTGAGTTTACACCATTGTGCTTATCACTGAAGAGTGTTTCTGATCATTTTTGCAAAGACAATATGTACCATGAATTTGGGCTGTATTTGGATATGGGCTAGTAAAGGAGGAATGCTGATGAACAAATAGCGTGGGGTGGAACTTGTTTTTTCTAATCCATAGCTTATAACTGAATGGTGTGGGTTTCCTTTGTCTTCAAAGATATCCTCTGCTGCCTGCGGTTATGGATTCACGCTGCTGTCCTCTAACACCACGGACATCACTAAAGTGTGGGGCATGGGGCTGAACAAGGATTCCCAGCTTGGATTTCAGAGAAGCAGAAGAGATCGAAGTAAGGATTGAGGTGGTGTAAGGGCTTACAGGGCGGCATTACAGGATAGATGTGATGTGGGAGACTTTGGGTTAAAGGCATAAAAAGAAGGCATAAAAAAGGCATAAAAAATGTCCAGAAGGCTTTGATGCAGATTGCAGGGCTATGCTTTTTTTTTTTAAAAAAAAAAAGCTATGGTTTTGGGTAGTTTGTAACTGATCAAGGTATGCGTTTGTTCTGTGCAGTGCCTGGATGTAACTAAAGTCTGAGTAACTATTTATTCTGCAGAAGTGTGTGTGTGTTGGTTAAGGTGTTGCTTTGAATCTCTATGGTTTGATAGTAGACAATGTAGTGTACTAGTTCATAAAACGGTTTTGGCAAGATGATTTGCTCACTTCTGTTGCCTTTACATCTATAAACTAATTTCCTTTCCCACAGAGATCTTTTTGTACAGTCAGTGGAATTTTGTATGAAGCTGTAGGGGTTTTTATTTTAATACCAACTTGTATTTTGAAGGAAGAACATGTTATTCAGTCATTCTGTCTTATACCAGGCTCTCAAATGCATTTAAGATGATGATTTCTGTGCAGAGCATTGCAGCCTTCCACCTAAGACAGATACGAAAAACACAAACTTAATTCCCTTATAGAATTGGTGTCTCTAACTGTTTGAAAACATTCTTCCATGTTAAAAGCAGTTTTTCCTCTTTATAGTGTATAAGAGCATAATCCATTAAGGTATGGTGCATCTGATATGGGCAAAAGATTAAACTTTGTGGAGAAGGAAAAGAAAATTGCTGCTACTGTGCAGAATGCTGAAGTTTGCAGTGGTGCTGCTGCTGTGCATTGCTGCTAGCATACTGTATAGATTTCCAAGAGTGTGTGCATGCAGCAAGTGTGTGTGCTTAAACAGCAGCTGCAAAATGAAGGGACCGCAGAAGCCTCCAATCACTTCTACTTTTAAAGGTTTCAGCTCTTACTCTGTCTTAGTTCTGTAACTGTTGATGTCTCAGGAGTGTCCTGTCATTTTCTTGTTTTTCATCTGACCTACAGATTATTTTTGCCAGAGAATCCGTAAATAGGTTATGCGGTTCAAGCCCTTCTAAGTAAGGGAGTGTTCAGTGTCCTTAGGATCTGTTGAAAGTGGTGTGCAGATCAGTGGGTTTGCTGCTGCTCCATGTTTAACTTCCCACAGACAAGCTTCCTGTTGGATATGCTGCTTGTTACTCAGTTTTACAAACTTACTTTGGTACCTGCTAGTTCTAACACTGTGTCCCCGTAGATGATTTGTTTCCAGGGGAATTTGCAACCTTCTGACTTTTAGATGGTTGTGTTTCATGTTCTAACGTGAGCTGTTTCTAAGCTAAACTACTAATATTTTGCTCTCACTCTCCCCTGCCTTAGCCACCTCGTTGTCTCTTCTCCCTAAAATCCCTCAGATATCAGTGATGATACTGAGTTCATTACCACAGATCCCAGTAGCTTGTGACTCTGCTGGAAGGAACAGAGAGAGGGAGGACAAGGTTTTTTGCTTTGTGACTTCCACATCTCTTTAGACAGATACAACCTCGCTGTCTTTCAGTTCCTGCTATGTTGCAAGGCAGGCTCCCGCCATTTGCAAACAGCCAGGTGTGATGCCTGTCCTCGCATCAAGTAGTGTCTTACTGTAAAAGGGTATGTGTAGATTTTCTGGTTTTTTTAATTGAAGGCAGTGAGAACTAGTTAAAGCACTGCTACATGTGAGCAGAATACTGCTTTGGGTCCTTTGAGATTTGATTTCACTTGTTACAGTGGCTTTCTTTGATATCAAAGCTTTTTGTCTCCCCTTAACCTTTTCCCTAGTACTGATTTATGTTTTGCTGTTCGTTCTTTTTTTTTTCTTCCCAATTGACCATAACTGATTACATATTCTTCAAGTTACTAAATCTTCTCTTTCTAGTAAAGCCTGTCATTTTCTTTCATAAACCTTAGATCTCTTATCCCCTATGGAGCCATGCTAGCTAGTGTTTCTTGCATTCCTTTTTTCTGAAAAGGCCTTTAATCTACTGTTCTTTAAATATGAAGCCCTAAGATTTTTTTTGTTCACCTTTCGTGCTGTCTTTTTGCTATTACTGCTATTGTACCTTGTTTGCAATATCCCCAGTGGCACAGAGTACTTAGTTTGTGCTTGGTGTTAAGCGCTCTAGTAATCCAGCCTTATTCACCAAAGTGGTTGAACATAAGGCTGAAAGCCTCGGTTTCTCAGTTCTAGCCACCTGAAGCCTTAATAACATTCAGCTTCTAGGTATGGTGGATTTTTGATTAGGCAGTGATTATTGGCTTCAGCCATCCCTATGGCTTTTAACTTCTTCCCCGCCCCGATGAATTCTAGTCAACCTTTTACTTTTGTTAGTATCTTGGCTTTCTAAGATACATCCGCTTTTGTAACAAAATAGAAGCAAGTGTGTGTATGTACAACAGGATCAGTGAATATATGATGAATTTGCTTTGTGGAAGCTACTGACTTTTTAAATTTCTCTCTCTTCCTTAAGCTAAGGGCTATGAATATGTCTTGGAACCATCTCCAATTCCATTACCATTGGAGAAGCCGCAGCAAACTCGAGTCTTGCAGGTGTCCTGTGGGAGAGCCCATTCCCTGATCCTGACAGATAGTGAAGGAGGTATAGTATCACTTGTGCTGGTGACAAGGGCTGCCTGACTATGCTTTCATTAAAAGCTCTGGAAAAGATTGTCTTCTGTCCTTCAGAACTAGACCCCGAATGCACTGTCTGCACTGTAAATGTGATGCAGGTAGCTGTTGGCCTTTGTGGGGTTGCTACCGGGAGGGAGAGCCCTGAGCTGATAACCATGTGTTGAGCTCTGCTTGGCTCAAGCTGTAAATGTGTTGGAAGCTTTTTTGCTACAAGTATTGCAAAATATGTTTTGTTTATCTAGCCCCAGGCCTCATTTAAGTGTAGCCTATTTGTCTTGTTCAGTCAGATGTGTTTTTGAATGCAGTTTTGGATGGCTATGCCAATACTCCAGTGTTACTTTCCCCTTGAAGCCCCAGAGTGCTACGTTTATAAAAGCGATTAATAGGCCTTTATACAGAAGATCCTGTGTGTGAATTGGCTCTCCACGTCTCTGGGAATTCTCTGGTGCAGTGGCTTCAGTGCTGTGCTGAGCGATCCAGTGCTGCTTATCAGTGGGTGAGCTGGTTGGTTGGTTGATTTAACGCTCCTGTGGGAGCACTGATCTATTTCTGAGTCTCCTTGGCAACGGCAGGATGAACTAGGCAATTACTGAAAAACAGCCAATGGGCTCCAGGTACCGCTACTGTGCCTGCAACAATATTGCCGGGATACTGTTGACGAAAATGGATTCAGTCACTTGAATTTAAGTGGACTTGGTTTGAAGAAAGCTTATGCCAATTTTTACAGTACCGTGTTCCACCTTTCATACAGAGGACCACATAAAAATATTTTGTGTACCTGAAAAGAGGCTTTCAGGGAATTGGACAGTAATAAAACTAGTGCCTTTTATCATTGTTTTTCAGTTTTCACCATGGGGAACAATTCTTATGGACAGTGTGGCCGGAAGGTTGTTGAAGATGAAACTTACAGGTGAGAATCGAAAGATCCTGAACTTCCTTAATGTTAAAAACGTAATTGCATGAAGACAACGCTACAGAAAAGCCTGGAGGTGGGAAAAATCTGCTAGTATAAGGATGCTATTTAAGATTAAGGAGTCTGAGAACAGGCTTTTATGCTGCAGGCATCATATAAATGGCCTGGCTTTAAACCCAGGCTGGGCACGAGCACTCTTCTAACCACATTCACAAAAGACAGAAAGATGTCAGCATGTGGCAGTTTTCGTAGGGCATAGTGAGAAAACCCAACCTTCATAAATTGCTTGAGGTGATTGGTGTTAGTAGTCAATCTTTCTCCCTTTAGCCTCTCAGAGTGCAAGTGCTATTTCTGAGGGTGTTAGAAATACCATTTAATGGTGAAAGAGGCATCCTTCTGTTGAATCTCTTTTTGCTATAACTGCCTTTGAATCCGTAGTGCTTTTGCTTTACAGGGTTTTTGTGGGCCACACCAAAGCACATCATAGAGATGTAAGTGGATATGATGTAAGTGGATAGTGGGAATATGTTGAAAATTACTAATTCCCTGGCAGGGCCTAGAAGAGATCTTGCTGATTACGCTCTCTGTGATCCATAAGACTTGGCCTGTAGAGTTTAAGAAAATAGCTGTAATTTAGCTAGCGTTTTTTCACCTTGATGCTGGAAGTTTGTCATTGGGTTGTTCATAATTCCTGTTTTTGTGAAAGAATGAAATGGATGTTAACACTACATTATTTGTGCCCTGGGATTTAAATCTGGTTAATCTCTACTTAAGTGTAGTGTTTATGTAGGTATTGCAGTATTATCTAGTGTCTGTGCTCATTCCAGACTAGGGAATGCGTTTGAGGATTGCTCCCACTCCCAGTTCCCATGAGGGATTATATTTAAAAAGTGACAGTTCTTAACTTCTTAAATAAGAGGATGCAAAATTACCTTCCTTCTTTGTGCAGTCATTTTACAGTCGAACTACGCTCTTTGAATATGTAAGAGAACGTGAAAGAATCTCTCTTCTTGTAATAGCAAAGTGGCTTTCAGTAAAGGCAGGTTTACCTTCACATTTTTCAGTTGCAGTCCTCTGAAATCCTCTGTGTTGCCTTTTCTCTTCTCGGTGGTTGTTTGATGGTGTCCAGTGAAAGCCATCTAATTCATCAGCTGAAGGAGTTTGACAGCAGAGTTGTCCAGGTAAGAGGATCTTCTGAACTGAATTTTGAAGGTGGATTGAAAACTGGCTGAACAGCTGAGCTCAGAGGGTGGTAATCAGTGGCGCAAAGACTAGTTGAATGCCAGTCACTAGTGGTGTATCCCAATATTGGGTCCAATCCTGTTTAACATTTTCACTAATGATCTGTATGACGGGGCAGGGTGTACCCTCAGCGAGTTTGCAGGTGACACAGAACTGGGAGGAGTGGCTGATACAGCAGAGGGTGGTGCTGCCATCCAGAGGCACCTCAACAGGCTGGAGAAATGGGCTGACAGGAACCTCATGAAGTTCAACAAGGGGAAGGGCAAAGTCCTGCACCTGGGGAGGAACAGCCCCAGACACCGCTATATGCTGGGGGCTGACCGGTTGGGAAGCAGCTCTGCAGAAAAGGCCCTGGGGGTCCTGGTGGACACCAGGTTGACCATGAGCCAGCAGCGTGCCTTTGCTGTGGAGAAGGCAAATGGCATCCTGGGCTGCATTAGGAGGAGGGTTGCCAGCAGGTCAAGGGAGGTGGTCCTTCCCTTCTACTCAGCACTGGTGAGGCCACGCTCGGAGTATTATGTCCATTTCTGGGCTCCCCAGTACAAGAGAGACATGGACATACTGGAGAGAGTCCAACGAAGGGCCATTGAGGTGATGAAGGGACTGGAGCATCTCTCCTATGAGGAAGTGCTGAGAGAGCTGGGACTGTTCAGCCTGGAAAAGAGAAGGCTTGGGGGAGTGTGTCTTTAGCAATGTATATAAATACCTGAAGGGAGGGTGCAAAGAGGACAGAGCCAGGCTCTTTTCAGTGGTGCCCAGTGACAGGACAGGAGGCAGTGGGCACAAACACAGGAGGTTCCCTCTGAACATCAGAAAACACTTCTTTACTGTGACTGAGCAGGTTGCCCAGAGAGGTTGTGGAGTCTCCCTGCTTGGAGATATTAAAAAGCCCTCTGGACACGGTCCTTGACAACTGGTTGTAGGTGGCCCTGCTTGAGCAGGGGGGTTGGGCCAGATGACTTTCACAGGTTCCTTCCAACCTTAACCAGTCTGTGATTCTGTAAAGAAAAATATCAGTATGCAAATCATTCAATTGAAGCTCTTTGAAATGATGAGGCGATCTACTCTATGGTTGCTTATAAAAAGCACAAGGCGGCATTTTGCTCCGTGCCTCTGCAGGGCAGTTGCAACTGGCAATGAAGGGTCTGAACTTACTGAAGAATTTGATGGGAATGCCAGTGCAGTGTTTGCTTGCTTGTCTTCTAGGTAACACCTGCATGGCAGGGAAGTTGTTCTGATGCCTCATCTTTTGGTGTCCCAATTCCTTGCTCTTGTTCCCCTTTGGCGCTTTTATATCGATTGAACTGTTTTATTTTGAATTTTCTCTTCCCCATTTCAAAAGTGAGCTGTGAGACCGTCCACTTAGACTAGCCAGCATTTCCCTAGGGCAGGTCTCTAGGAGAGCAAGGGACTGCAGAGCAGCATAAATGCCTGCACACGGCTGCAGTATTTCCAGGCACAGGAGCAGTTTGCTAGTATGTCTATGCCTCTGTAGCAGTACTCTGTGGGCAGACGTTGCTCCTGTTCCATGCGGCATCCTAGAAAGCAAGGGTCATTTATTTAGGTCCGCATGATGAGTGTGCACTGTGGTACATCCTGACGATGTTTTGAATTAGGCTTGTAGACTTCGGTTTGGATTTTTCATGATTTTTTTTTTCCCAAGGGGGTTGAATAATTGGTACTTGTTTGTACTTTGACAGCAGTTATGTGCTTAATATTCTTGGTAGTCAATCTCTAACTTGTGGATTAAATTCCTTTAATTTCTGGCTAATTTTTAATGTCTGCTTTTGAATAAAGATCTTGGCTTTAATTCATGCCAAGCCTGTGGCAGACATGATTGCTAGTTCAACATAAATGTCAGTTTGAGAACAGATGTGTTCCTAGAGCGCTTACATGGCAAGGAATCAATAGCAGTTTGTAGCTGGCATTGAGCGCCATGTGATAGCACTCTGGGAAGGGAGATCTCTTATTTACTCTTTGCTGTTTTATTGTGTTGCACTGCTGAATCGAGCTTTCTGTTAACTAGCCCTTGTTTTGGATCTCAGAACAAATCAACTGCAACATCACTTCCCACAAAGAAAATTCTGCTGTATCGTGCTGTTCTTAGCCTTCCCTCAATGTTGAGCCATTTGATCTGGAGAGAAAGGGCAAAATCTGAGCTGATGGGCATTGTAGAGGTTGATTGCTCAATTTGTCTGCCAGTAATGCTTCATTAAATCAATTCTGAACACTTGACCTTTCCTGACCAGCTCGTGACTTTTTGTTTGCGTGCAGGTTGTGTGCGGGCAGGACCACAGTCTGTTTAGAACCAAGAAAGGTGCGGTCTACGCCTGTGGATGGGGGGCTGATGGACAAACAGGTAGGAGCTCAGCTCAGCTTGCATTTCAGTGAATTGATGAATGTAGAAAGCTGTCCTAATTCAGAGCTTGTGATGTATATTTGTCTTGCATGTGTGGGCAGAAAGGGGCTCGTATATTTCCAGCTGTGTGCAGATGTTCTCAATACTCTTGTGCAACCAAACTGAGAAAAAACAGTTCATTTTTAGAGGAGCTCTCGGATGCCACGCTGGCAATCCAAGCATGCAATCGGAGGAGAATGTGTCTGCTGTTTGAAGCTTGTGAGGGGATGTGGAAGTGGCATGGGAAGATTAGCTCCCCAGTTCTGTGCAGGCTTTGCTTCCCGATTCTCATTTCAGGGTCTGTTTTGCTTCTTGCTCCTTTTGAACTTTGGCAGCTACTGCTGTCTTAGCATGCCATCTTTGGCCAGGCCCTTGTCCTGGTGGCTCCTGCTGTCAGAGGACTTCCAGTCCTTCCTACTGCTTAGTCTTGTGGCTCCTGAAGCTGGGTTCTGCCCTTGGTTCTCTTGTGCAGACATACTGTAGCTCATCTTGTTTGTCATCTACATTCTGGCCTCTTGTCCAGGCAGCTCTTTGTCATGTAATGTGTTTCCTTCCCAGCCTCTTTTGCTGCTTCACCTGCTGTTGTCTCAACTGATCGCAGTGTGCTGTCGCTCATGGCTCTCCTTGCAGAAGACAGGATGCAGCTTGTTTGTGAAACTTCACCTCTGTCGGGATATCTGCCTAGTTTGGTTACTGCTCTCTCAAACCCTTTGGTCCATGCAGACAAGAGAGATGAGGGCCTAGACTGTTTGCCAGGTGTGATTGTACAAAGTTGTTTTGTACTCTAGAGAGGTAGCTTTGGCTAGTAGAACTGGTGTTTGTGGCTGCTTGTCCATTGAAGCTGGTAGTTAAGAGATACGGACAGAAAGATTTCTTTTGGAGGGAGTGTGATTGAGTTATAACATGACAAAATGGTCCTATGTAGGCGTTAAAAGTATGTCTGGAAAAAAATTCTTCATCATCTGTCTACTTCTTTCCTTTCAGGTCTTGGACACTACAACATCACCAGTGTTCCTACTAAGCTATGTGGTGACATTGCTGGAGTAAACATTATCCAGGTCTCTTCCTATGGGGACTGTTGTCTGGCTGTTTCAGATGAAGGAGATGTCTTTGGTTGGGGAAATTCAGAATATTTGCAGTTGGCATCTGTCACAGAAACCACACAGGTCAGTTGGCCTGGGGGCATGTTTTTACATGTTTAAGTTCAGCTGCTGCGCACGGTTAAAAATTACACACTTCTCCCTGCTCTGGGTTCTTTTGACAGCAGTATAAATCAATATAACACCACTAGCAGGCTGGTTTTACCTATGCTTACAAAACCAATCTGCTTGAAATGGTTATATAGCTTTAGGGCAGTATGTTTCCCAGCTATTGATAGGCAAAGGCTTGTGTGACCTCACCTCAGTTTGTTAGTCTTATAAAGGAAGAGTACAGCCTGTGCTCTCCTTTCCCCATCCCATGGACTTCGCACCAAATTGAGATCCAGCTCGAGTGCTGGTGCTGGTTTCAGGATAGGAATTAGTCCTTTGGCTGGCTAATCTAGAATTTCGAGTGGTCCTGCTTTGAGCATGGTGCTGCTCCAGATGACCCCTGGAAGTCCCTTCAATCAACCCATATGTTGGTGAATTTTTCATGAACAACCTTAGTAGGTTTATAGCTGAGTCCTTAACAAATCCCAGTTTCTCACAGATAAAAGTTTTTTGGGGCAAAAATATAGTGCTGACTTGACACCACGCATTGTAGTACTGAGGTAATTAGGCAGATGGTCTCCTCTTAACAGTTAGTGTGGGAGATGGAGTCAGGGAATTAATTAATACTCAAGCTATTCTTGGCAGAAGGCTAAGAGCAGACAGTTGCATTAGTATGGCTTTAGTAAAATATGTACCTTTGTTTCCCATGCCTCTCCTGATGTATCCTTAATGTAGGGCTAATGTGTGAGACCCATAAGGCCTGAAGACAATGACCAGGTTAAGTAGTGTAATAGTTTCCCGTCTGGGTGCTCGATGGAGGTCAGAGGGGTCTGAAATGGATGAATGGCATGTTTGCCAAAGCGGGAGTTTTAGGTACAATATAGATAAAGTCCAAACTGTGGAATAGCAGAGCTGGATATTATCTGTGAAATCAGAAGTCACTGTTCACATGTGTCAAGGCGTGTAGGTTTCTGTTGTATTGAACTATACCAAATAAGAGTGACTTTCTTTGAGTGATTTTTTCCTTAGTATGTTCAAAAATGCCACCACAGACCAAATTTTAGTGATCTTGTCCATTGTGAAAACTTGCAAATGTGCTCGCCTATTGAGTTTCCCATTGTGTCTGACTTACAGAGCCAGGGATATAAGCAGACATTAAGCATTCCCAGCTTTGTTGCCATGCATGTAAGCTTTCCAGTGGGTAACTTTTTCCACTTTGTCCACACTTAATGAATTTCATGTAGTTTTTTTAATCTTGGGATTTGCATTCATTCCATTATTCAGGCAATAAAGGTTGTCTGTGTCAGGAATTCAGTGTATGTAAGCTCTAACCAGAACTAGAGAACAAGTTAAAAATGGGTGTCTAGTTTGCATTTTATTACCTTGTCTCTAACGACTCTCTTGCAACCTCATACAGGTAAATGTTCCTAGACATTTACCATTCAAGATTGGGAAGATAAAGGAGGCTGCATGTGGAGGGACTGGCAATATTGTGCTAACGGGTGAGTTCACTTTTACAATCATCCTCTTTAGTGCAAGGCCATGCAGTAGGTGGATTGTAACATAATGGAGCAAGCATCTTGTTCACTGGAAACAGGGAGGTACTGTCTGGTACGAGGAAAGCTGGGAGACTGAGAAACGTGTGATTTAAGAATGTACTAGGGGAGTTATTTTCAGTAGCTGCAGAGCATTGCTTCCAGTGTGTGCTGTTGTTAGCGCTTACGCAAACTATAACAAGAGCGTGGTCACTGCTTGCTGTTCTGATCCCTTGTTTGTTATCATACGGGCCATGTGTGGCCTGTAATGAAAATGGATACAAGGAGGAAGTAAGGTAACGCTTGAGAGAAAGAAGAGGCCTTCAGACTCGATACAAATCTGACATGTAAATAAATCTTGATAAACTAGCCTGGAAATTAGAGGGTTCTGGGAACAACGAAACTCTACAGCAGGCTTCTTGGTGAATGCTGCTTTGGATTGCCAGTGGCCAGGGGAGCACAACTTGAAAGTCACGGAATAAAGGAGTGAGGGAAAGGATTGCACTATTTTTATGAAGGATCATCTCAAAGAAGACGTTCATATATATAGTGCAGTTGCTGTGATGACAAGACATTTGAGCTTCTAGCATGAAGGGAGCAGAGCTAGCAGACACAGCAACTTACTCTGTCTTATGCTGCCCAAGTGCTGCCTTTCCCAGGCACCCAGCTTAAGGCAGAATGCCAAACAGAGCGACCAGGCTACCACTGGTTTGGCCATGCCTCAAAGGAAAAAGCAAAGATAATAAAACATTCAGCCTCTGTCCCATCAGTCAGTAAGCTGAAGTATTTTATCCAGCCCACGCTGTGTTGGCATTTTTTCCCCATGAAAGTTTTGCCTGTGAAGACTGATCTGCTTGCACAGCTTAGGAAAAAATTAAGGCATTTGAATGGGTATGCATTGTTTGTTACATTTAAGTAATCAAAAGGTGCTAGACTGCTCTGGGAGAAAGCAAAATATCCCTTTGGATCTGATTAACTCTTGGTCATGGCATGAATTTCAAGCACAAGCACAGACTTTCTTACAGAATGTGTTCTTATTGTAATACAGAAGAAGGAAATGTTTTTGTCTGGGGATATGGAATTCTTGGGAAAGGACCAAACCTAATAGAGACAGCAGTGCCAGAGATGATCCCACCCAGCCTTTTTGGCTGGTCAGACTTCAATCCGGACATCCGTGTTGCTCACATTCGCTGTGGACTCAGCCAGTTTGCGGCACTTACAAGTAAGTTTCTAGTCCTACTGTCATGGAGAAGTCCCGTTGTCGTATTATTGGCAGTTAAAAGAAAAACAAAAAAGTGCCCATCTTTCTTTAAACTTAAAGCACATTGGAATGCAACAGGAGGGGCGGGCAGCACATTTACAGGTGTCAGCATGGTTTCTAACATAGGTACTGCACTGACTTATGCTTTAATTAAGTGTTACTCTTCTAAACCAAACAAAAAATTTCTCTCAAACAGGAAACCTGGGAAGATTTTTTTTTTTTCATTTCCTTGTACAGAATAAGTCAGTCAGTTGCACTTTAGAA